ATTTACTAGTATCGTTGTGTCCCTTGGCGTATTTATATAAGGTGGTGTTTCTGCGTTGCTATGGTATCGCAGTGGTTGGAATTAATGGCGCGTTGTTATGCTGTTGGTAGTGTAAATGCTTTGGAGGTGTGGCAGCTTTCAGTGGTATATTTAGTCCTTACACTACATTTTACTTAAATAACGAAAGCAATTGTGCCATGAAGGTACAACTCTCCTAGTGGGCCTAGTGCTCATCCAAAATGCCATCTATTTACTAAGCCATATCATATGCTTATTGCTTGTCGGTCTGTGCCGATGTCAAACCACTTCGCCGTTTTCCTTTCCCCTTTCCCAAGCTACTCCAGTTGTTCACACCAAATGTGGGCAGATCTTTTTGCCCTGACTTCTTTCCTTGCCTCCGTTGTGCAGCCATTGACATCATCTATACTAGCAAGTGCTATCGTGGCATTTTTATGCGTTTGACTATGTTCATTTTAAAGCAAATCTCGTGTAGTGTGCCATAGAAAATTCATCGATATCGGACGCCCAAAAATCCTACCTTCTCATCTTTGGCCGACATCTTCCATGTTTCTGCATCATATAAAATAGAGCTCTGCTTTTCAATTACCTACCGAGCCCGAAGCAGCTCAAGGCTAACATTATTTGTGGTGATAATTTGACTGTCCAAGTGACGTTTGGCCTAATATGCGAAGACTCTTTGTGTGTTTCCAGTAGGGGTTTTGCCCTCTTTTCATTCACCGCCCGACCAAATTCCCTCTCGAAGCCGGAGAATGCTTCGCTGACCGTCTCCGTGTTCAGGGCGACGATGTCAATGCCATCTGCATACGTTACGATACTTGCCACTGTGAAACAAACCCTACAGAATCCGCATAACAACCTCAAGAAACTCAATGAAAGACGCGCGAAAGACTTTATAATGACACGTCTAAAAATTTTCTGGAAAATTTATACAAAACGGTTCCTCAATGTCTAATTCACAAATTTTCCAGAAGACTCGCAGGTTAAACATCGTTATGGACGTGATCGACTCCATAACATATGTATGTATAACAGGAAGTCGATAATGATGTTTAAACTGTAGTTAGTGTTAACCAGACATTAAGAAACTGGGCCTTAGTCCTACAACGGCGACTTCTGTGGCTGAGTGGTTAGACGTGCGTACTTCCACGCCGTATACATCGATTTGATCCCTAGTCCAAGCAAAATTTCAATTAGAAAGCGGCAGGCAATTGCTTTTCTGCGAGTGTATTTTTGGCTTTGAACTATTTTTGTTATTACAACAGTCAAGCAGTCTCTGGACACAATTTTACGATCTAAGTACGATCAGATGATAATTTTTTTAGAAGCATCATCGATCTCATAAATGCAGCTCGGTATCTCTATCTCATTCCTTCGAGTCGAAAGGCAAAGAGGCTATATTACGAATAGTCGTTGGTGTGGTTGTGATTTAGCACCGCTATGACAACGACCACATCAATTCTGCATGAACTGGGCACTTCAAGTAAATACTACGTAGGCATATATGGACTAATTGTAGTAAAATATTTAAAATGACCCTCGAATATAAAAATATATAGAAGCATCTAAGTGGATTTTTTTACCTTTTATTTAACATACATTTTGCAGGAGTACCAATAGCAGCCTAAAGAACTCAGAGCGTAATCTAAAAGACAGCGTCGCCTATATTGAAGAACAGCTGCGCGAATCGGAGAATACCATTGCCGGTATAAAAGCACAGCTAGAGGAGAGCGAGTGGAAAGTTTGCGAACGTAATGGGGAACTCGCTTTGCTCAAGTCACAGCTGAAAGAGGCTAATGTGAGTCATTCTACGAAAATATTTTCTACTAAATATCTCATTGTATTTTCCTTTCATCTCCAGGTGGAGATCACAATGAAAGAGCACGCCATTGTGCATCTGCGCCACGAAAACACCAATGCCGAAACACAAATTTACGAAAGCTTGCAGGAGAACCATAAAATGACTAAACAACAAAAGCAAGTCGAGCAGCAGCAGGCACGCACCGACAAACAATCCGAAACAGAACTGAAGCAATTGAACAAAATCATCATACTCAAGGATCAAGTAATACTCGCGCTCACCAACGAGTTGGCCAAGCTGCGCAAAGAGCTTTCTGACTTGGCGATATTTCAGGAATACGGGGAGGAACCATCCGGACGCTTTATACGCCTCAAGCAACAACTGGATAACTTAACCGACATTTGTAATCGCACACGCCGCCATGCGTGCAAAGCCGATGCGAGTGCAGCCGCGCCAAAGGAAAAGGTCATCGATGACACAAATCTGGAACTGATTATAAATAGTCTCAAAATAGCGCCACCACTCGACGATACCGATGAGAGTGAGAATGAACGGGACCAAAGTAAGCTGTGCGCTGAGAAGCGTTTAGCCAAGATGTCTACGGATATTCAGAACTTTGTCTACGGCACACAAAACCTACCCGACATCGCTATGAATCACAAGCCACTGAAGTACTCGCATTCCAATCCGAACAAACTGGAGGAGTCAACGCTGGATACATTGATCGAAGAGTCGGCGAGCTATGCGCAGGAGATCGGCAAGTTGCGGAAGCAGCTGGATGATGTGCGCGTTAATTTCGAGCTGGAGAAGCGGCAGTGGTGTGAGGAGCGTGAGAAAGTGTTGAATTACCAAAAACAACTGCAGGCTCACTACATTAATATGTATCAGAAACTGCGCAGCTTGGAGGGCTCCAATGAGGTTTAGCTGCTATTTGAGGAAAGGAAAGCGGACAGACATAGGAAATTTGTTAGGTTGCAAAGTGAATGGCAATAGTTTATTTAATATATTGTTGTTGTAATTTTAATGCAATCACATATTGCAAAAGCTATTTTATCATAATCCATAAATATCTATTTATTAAAAATGTTATATGCACTTGAAGAAAAACATGAAAAAAGCAAAAGGTATCGAAGTGTAAACATTCCGTTGCACTAAAAATGTAGATTCGATATACTGCATTTACATATTTCAAATAAAATTTAATTTTCATACGTCAATAATTGATATTTTCGTAAATTAACGCAATGCCAGGCTACTCCGCTTTGTGTTCTGGTTGTTGTTGTTGTTGTTGTTGTTGTTTTCTGCTGCTGCGGGTCTCGAAACTCATTTTCCCTTTCTACCAGGCGCCCATAATCGTACAGCAGGCAGCCCGGCAAACTTTTTTGCCAACCGGAAATGCAACAACTTTGCATATATCTTGGCTTGGTGTACAAGGTGTAAGCGCTTCCTAGAACTGCAACAATGTCACCCTGTTTATTTGGCCGCTGCCGGAAATCTGAAAGCATTGCATAAATCTAGGTTGAGCGCGAGAAGCAAACTATTTTATTTCCTGCATCCGGGGCAGCTTGCAAACGGTGCAAAATGTGTACTGTATATCCACCTTGCTATCAGGCGCACATAAGTGCACAGAAGGTTATCCAGGCATTTTTTTTTTGCGACTTCCGGAATGCAGCGGAAGTGCATACATCCAGGCTGATGGCCAGATACAGGGCGTCGGACGGACGGAAATGCGGCTCGTACGAGCAACCCTGCAACGTCATTTTCCGCAATAATGTTGCTAGCAGCATGTTCGCTACTAGTGATGCAGCAGTTCTGACATGGTCTCGCAACAAATGTTTTCACAACATGTTCCTTGCAAACATATCGGTAATTTCAGCGCAAAGATTACAATTTATGAAATATAGTGCTTATCCTAACTTTACGACACTTGCTTATCCTAAATATACGACACTCACATATTGACAATCAGCCTCATTGCGTAAGTCGTAAATTAGGCTGAATTGTACAACTCGACAACATTAGCATTGTCTACTGTCGTGCTGAAATAAGTAAACGACAAAAATTGTCGAAAACTATGCAGTGCTGCCAAGTTCTTCCGTTTTAATACACTAGTCGAGTGGAAATTTTAGGCAATGACGCTAAATTTTCGATACGATTCGACTCTCGAAAAACGACTTGCATTCGGCACGACTCTCGCAATGAGGCTGTATATTTGACTATTTATTTTTATATTTGTTATAAAATTTTTTTTATTTAACGAATACCGTACAAATCCAAGTTTTAATCTTCGTACAATATTAAAAAAAAAAATTAACAAACTTTCGTAAAAATTTTGAGCTTCTTAATTCGATTTCTTAGAAAAATTTTGGTTATGTAGTTTTGTAGCCCGCAAATTAAAAGTAGCTTGCGCTTGGTCTTAATTTTTGCCAATTTTTTTGTTTTTTTTTTTGGTTGAATGTGTTGCTCATTTTCTCCATATTTTTATATGGAATCGTCGAATACACTTCATATGGAAGAAAACTACCGACATCGTCAAACAAATAAAATTCCCAAAAATCAACAGAAAGTTCCAGCTACTTCAAACTTGCACTTTATTGCACTACTACATACTCAAAATATTTTTAATTAATCTAATTAAAAAGCTCACAATTTCTACGAAAGTTTGTTGACTTTTTCTAAATATTGCACAAACACTGAAACTTGTTTGTTGAAGAACAAACTAAAATTTTATAGAAAAAATTCAAACTCCGATAACTTTTATTTTTTAAGCCCGAGGCCCAGCAAATGCCTAGACTCCTGTTTAAGTTTTTTAATGTCGATATTCTCACCTCAAAAGGGGAGAGTTGCTGAGGATGACCTCAGATTGAGGTCGAAATATCGACATTAAAAAATAAAAATTACTAAAACTTAAACTGGAGTTTATGCATTTGCTAGGTCTCCAGATTAAAAAATGAAAGTTAACATAGTTTATAATTCAAAGGCCAATAACCAAACACTAAATATTCAAATTAAAAAGTATTAAAATAAATAGTGAAAACTTGTCAATATGTGAGTATCGTATAGTTATGATTAAATAGCTCTATATTTTTGCGCAGATTATTCTTAATAGGTTATTTTGTTTTAAAGTACGACTATGGATAATTTTCGTTAATGTAAACATGTATACAATCTCAGCTTCCTCACTTTTCATATGTTTCAAAGAATACATTTTATTAATAATTGTATGTAAATATATAAGTAGACATTAAATTACGTAATCTTTACTACATTAAAACATGAGTTAAATACCAATTGATTTCAAGCATTTTTTCGCCCTCAAACTCTTGTATGTTGCTTCTATTTGTTTTTTTTTTTTTGTTTTTCCAAAGCGGATGCATGAATCCACATAAATACATACGTATGTATCTTATTGAAGTTGGACTTAGTTACGTAATTATGCGCTTCATAAATACATACATATGTATAAGTATATAGAAATACATAAGTAATGCAATAGAACAACTTCTAATTCCTTACAACTACCATTTAAAATAAACATTTCAACGAAAACGAATCAAAAATATTTCATGCGTTCTATATATTGATGACGAATCAGATTCTTTTGTTCACAGGGTAGACATGGCTAACCTAAATACATACTATTTTCATATATTATTTTGCTTCCGAAAATTGATTATCAAAAAATGTTCAAGGCCTCATAATAGAATGTGCATAGGCTTAATTTGAGAGTGACAAGTAGGCAGTCAGGCAGGCCACGTTTTATTGTTCTGTACTTAAGGGTGGTCATGTTGAACGCAACCCATTTTGGCAGTCGTAGGGAAGACAAGTTACAACTATAGAAATAGATTAAACACGGCTTTCGACCATTGCACGCTGCTACTTTCGGCCAACTGGACAGTCGACTCGCTTCATGCACAGTTATACATACATATAACTACCTCTCTTTCACACCATTGACCACTAGATTTTCGCCTCTAATTACTTTACACCTAATTAAAACTAATTCTATATCCTTCATGCGAATTCTTCGACATAGGTCGCTGGAAAGATGCCCACATGATTGCCTAAGGCGCCAAGCCACCAGCCATCCTCTTGCTTGGCATGCACTTCAATAATGTCGCCTGGCGTCAATTCCAGTTCGTCATACAATTTTGGTGTGTAGCTGTATAGCGCCTTGCATCTACTTAGTATAATCGGCGTACCATTGCCATTGCCATTGCCATTATGTGTTTGTCCATTGTGTGCCTCTGCTGCATTCTGGTAGATTGTGGGCGTCGTTGTTGGTGTCTTGGTCGCCGCTCCCGTCGACATAACTGTTGCGGTGCCATTAGCCAACATCGTACTCTTCTCTATAATCGCCTTATGCTCCTTACGTCCCGAGGAGCTGGTTGTCGTCGTTTGCTCATCATCATCGTCCTGTGAGCTGAATTCATCGAAATCTGAATCTTGTTGATTTGAACCACCATCGGCTTGTCCGCGATCGCTGTAAGGATCGTCGATAGTCGCTGGTATGGTCTTTGTTTTATCAATGGTAGCGATGCAGAGTTGTGTCTTGTTGCTGAGCGTTTCGATATTACTCTTGCTGCGATTGAATTTGCGTATGAGCAGGTCCTTGCTGAGGTCTGTACAGCTGGCGTTCGAAGAATTGTTCGATTGTGTTACACATTCGTATTCGTTCTCGTGCACAGATGCGCTGCCATCATCCTGACTCATGCGATCGTTATTCTTCAGCCAAAGTGGTACTTTTAGTACGCTTTGTTGGAGGCCAGTGCGATCGCGTGTGACCTAGAGAGTGAAAACCCGAAAGTCAGTTAATAGTTTTTTTTTTTGTTTTTGTCAAATGGTTCAAAAGTGTGCCGCACTCACCTGTATATGCTGCGCTAGTGGATGCGACGACCTGGGTTTGTGATCTAATTCTAAAAGCGCCGAGTGTAATTTGAAGCGTGCGCCTTCCAAATAAGTCAGCATCGATCGTATCTGTAAGAACGGAAATGCAATAAGCGTATATGTGTGTGTTATTCTTCTTCAAGAGATTGCACTTAAAAATTATGATGAATATAATTAAAAAAGTATGGATGGACAATTTTTTAAATCCTCCGGTTCTTGAACATCTAGTTTTTATTTAACAGTTTTTGTTGCTTTCTCCAATGGCCAGAAATCGCAGCAAGAAACAGCAGATTTTAATTAACAGCTATCGATACGTAATACTTTTGTTTAAATTTATTATATACTAGCAAATGCCCGGCGTGCCTCACTGCGCCGTGAAAGTGTTTTTGTGCTATTTGATACCCGTATTGTAATCATTGATTTATTTTATCAATTTAATTTAACACATATTTTTCAAACAGGTGGCAACCCTCCTCTAAAATATTATCCGTAGTAAACTTTCTTAAACCTATTCAGTTTGTTATCCATATTGTAATGTTCAATTTATCTTATCAATTAAATTGAATTAAAACTTTCAAACAGCTGGCAACCTTCAACAGAAATGTTTTCGGCTGTAAGCCTTCTCCAGCTAATTTCTTTTGGCAGCCATATTACAATATCTATCAATTTACTTAGCCTGCAATTTTCAATCCGGCGGAAACTCTATTTTTTTTCTTTCCTATTTTAAGTTAGATCTCTAGCAATGCACCGGTGACAACTGCATTCAATTCGATGCATTAGTTTTTGAGCGATGCGCGTACAAACATACAGACAGACAGACAAAAATTCTAAAAATTGTTAATTTAGCTTTTGTTGCTCTAATAAAGACCCCCTATATTAAGTTTTCTTTAATATCTATGTATAATGTACTGACATCGGCCAGTTACAATTTTATTATATGTATAGATTAATTACTAACTACAATTGTTTTATAGATTGCGATAAATTTTTGTCAAAAAGAGATTTAAGACGCCTGAGGAAGAATTTAATTGTGAATAGTAATTCAACTGCGAAAGATAAACATAAATAAAGGAAAGCGAAAACGCTAATTGGACAATAAAAAATCGTGCACCATCAGTGCTGCTCGCTATTTTGAAAAAAGAAAATTGGCCTGTATCATCAACAAAAAATAACCGTTACAAAGCTATCAGCCAAATGAAATCCTTGTAGATTCATTGCCACCCGGTGAATATTTCCCTATTGGATTAAAAAATCGTTACAGGCTGAAGTTGAAAATATGGATATAGATGGCGAAAAATTATTATAAGATATAAATATTTTGTGATGGGTTGCCAATTTTTAAAAGTTTCTGCAAAACGCTATGTCCGATTTTGTTTTATTATATATTTATTTAAAGATACTGACGCGTAAATTAATGAATCCCGAACCGGCTTTGACCTAATGAAAAATATACACTTATTGAATCAGTGTAGGGATAGGACACACGAAAATGCTCTTTGTCTACTCCCTGAGGAGGTTTCGAGATGGCTTTTACGGGAGCACTGCATTATTGCTGGTTTGGGAGGAATGCGGGATGACTTTTATGGGGAGTACTCCGTTATTGCTCGTTTGGGAGGTTATTATGGGAGTGTTCCAGTATTGCTCCCTTAGAAGGTTTGTGGGATGATATTTCAGTGTGCCCCCAATTGCTAGTTTAGGCGGTAAATGGGATTACAGAGTTTCCACCTTTTTCAAAAGTTTATTAAATAATAGATTTAATAAAATATTACAACATTGTGGGTGTCGAAAGAAAACCCGATTTATTCCGAAATAAGTTTGAAGGGGGTTGCCACCTGTTCAAAACGTTGAAATCAATTTAACTAACAAGTTAAATTAAATATTTTCTTCTGAGCATCAAACAAAAGAGAATTATGTAAGCTCTATTTCGAAAAGAGGTTGGGAGTTCTAGGTCAAGTTAGTGAACAAGTTAAATGATGAGGGTTACCAGATGTTTGGAAATTCAAGGTCAATTTATTTAACAAGTTCAATTACATAATCTACCACAGTAGTTTTCCATTAAAAACGGCCTCAAGCTCAATAAAAATTGTTGAATATTTATTAAAAAGTTCAATGAAGTATTTTTATCTGGGTTTCAAATGAAAATGGCTTAAGAAAACCTTATTTTGAAAATGGTTTTTAAGAGGGTTGCCACCTATTTGGGAGTTCAAAATTACTTTAATAAGTAATTTAAATTAATTATTTTATATGGAAATCAAATAAACGAGAGGTCTAAGAAAGCTTCATTTCGAAAACATTTTTGAAGAGGGTTGACATATGTTTAGAAATTTAAGATAAATTTATTTAAGAAGTCAAATTAAATATAAATTAAATTAAATATGGGTGTAAGCAGAAAGAAGTTTCAAGCCAGTCTTATTTTTAAAGTATTTTTGAAGAAAGTTGTCATCTATTTATTAATTCAAAATCAGTGTAATTAACAAATTTAATGAAATATTTTGATATGGGTGTCCAGCAAGCGAGGTCTAAGGAAAGAAGATAAAGAAAGTTTTTCTCCAAAATATTTTTGAAGAGAATCACTTACTGTTTTAAAAGTTTAATTAGTCAACTAATTAATTGTATCTTTCGTAATTACACCAATTTAGTATGAAAGCATTTTATAAGAGATTTGCCACACTTCCAAAATTTATTAAATTAACCATTTCCATTTATGTTACCGAAAAGCAAAAAATTAGAGTTTTTTTATAGAAAAACAAAAACCCGGTCTGGAATACCCGTTCCTATATAAAAATTGGGTATTCACAACAATTTCGCTCCAACTTTCGTCAAGCGGTATAAGTTGGCTTTCGAAAAGTGTTGCTGTGAAGGATCTTTCAATCTTATTTCTGTTGGTCTATCAACAACTATAATTTTTTCAGCAGCAAAGAATAATACATTTTTGAGAGAATTACACCCATAAAAAATCTTGCTCAAATAAATTAGAACCCCCTTCTCGATCTTCAATTTGTTACTTCTAGCAATTACTTGTTATAATTATTAGGCTAGTGTTGCATACTATTTTCTAAAAAGCCGTTGCCAGTACAAATTTAAAATGAAAAAAAGAATTGCAATCACAGAGGCCGTAGATGGACATAAAATATTCATATATAAATATACGTAGAAGTCAACATATAAACGAACTGTAAATACCGTTTACAAACACTGTTTTCGATAAGAAGACCCTCTAATAAAAATATGTGTATAGAGCAAAATAGTAATTTACACTTACATGATACAACTTGTCGGTGATATTCTGATTCTCCTGATTGTTCAGCGACTGCGATAGTCCTTTTAGTCCATTTCTTGATCGTCGTTCGCGTTCCAAATCTGCCTTGACCAACTGCAGAAGCTTGATAAGCGCATGCTTACGTCTCTCCCGATTCATCGCCAATGTGGTGTGTTCGCAATAGAAATCAGGCAATAACTGTTCGCTGGGACCCTCTGAATTGCGGCGTATATTCTTAACCACTTGCATATCCTTCAATACATTACAAGCTTCCACTTGTGGCTGCAAGCGTTGCATCAAACCATCCAATATCGGATTCATATTCGATGTTAGCTGCGAATAGTTTGCAATGAAATTTTTCATATTGACCAAGCGCTGATTTTCGATATTCTGTAGCAGTGAAGAGCCACGCAGCACGGCCATTTCCCAATCGACACGAGCGCGCTCAGCGCGTATGCAGAGCGTATAGTATTCGACGTCGGCACGCTTTACAGCCTCCTCGGCTTTCTTACGTTTGCTGTCCAATTTGGCACAATCCTTTTCGGCCGATCTGATCTCTTTTTCGGCAGCAAGTTTGTTAGGTCCCTGGTGTAACAATGCAATCGATGGGGATTTCTGTATTCGTACATCCAACAACGCATCTTGCAGCTTCTCATTCTCACGAGCTGCTGTGTGTGAAGACTTTTTGGCTTTAGCCTCGCTGACACGCCACTCGGCCAGCGTACGAGCCGCCTTATCGACGTTGCTCTCAACCTTTTTTTTTTGAGGGGGGGATAAATTTTAAGATGTTAGTCGATTATTAGCGCGCATTACCTAACTCAGGGATACTCACCGACTTTCGAGTTTTGTGATGTGCATCGATTATATTTTTGAGTGGTTTGACTATCTCGTCTGTGAGTGATGCCGACAATTGGCGATGGATGTCGCTGCGATTCTCCATTTCGGTAGCCACACCACGCCAAGCATCGGCTATGCTGCCGGGCAGTTCTCGACAGGCTTTGTTCAATTTGTTGGCCATTTTGGAGAGAGATTTCGAGTATAATGTTTCAGACTCAACTCTGTAGAAATAACCTAATTACATTGTTTTAATTAAAAATTTAATTGAATCTCTTACCTTTCTTGTAATATTATTATAAGTTCCTTTCCGAAGTCGCCACCTTGTTTCACGTAACGTCGCAGTTCTTCGAAGCCATTTTGACCCTGAAAGAGCAAAGAAAATAATTTTTAACATTTATATTAATGGAAAGTAATGCCTAACCACTTGGAAACCACAAAGCGGACACATTTTTATGAACCTAAGGGACTTAAGCATATTTAGAAGTGTCTTAACCTAGTTCATGAGTAAATACTATATTACCTACATGCCGCTCATTATTTAAGTGCCTTTGTAAAATACCTTCTTCACCACTCCCTAAGATCTCCTTACTTACCTCCAAGAGTTTGGCACATTTTTCAGCTGTTGATGATTCATCAGCTGGCCGTTGGGTAAAAGACGACTCCTGGTCTCCTTCTCGCTCCGCTGTACCATCACCATCACCACCGCCACCCGCACCACTCCCATCCACCAAATCATCAGTACTCACACCAAAAGACGTATTTGCATTGGTTAATGCTCCTGCCGTGGCGTCCGGCGACTGTTGCAGGTTGCTACTGGCAGCACTGGTATCACTATCGCGCAGCACTGGCATGCCCACTCGACTACCGCCCCCGCCGCTACGTAAAAGCACGCTGCCATGCACAGATGGCGACTGCCGGCATTCCGACGTGTTGAGGCTTAGCTTCGAGGTAGCCACGCGTTGTAGGTTCGCTTGTTTCTGCACCACCTCCTTCAGCTTCGTACTCTCTTCGCCAATCCAGTGCTTCACACCATGCCAACCCTTCCGCAGCTTCTCTTTATTGTTGTTGAAACTGATCAAACGCGAGTTTTTATTCTTCAAAAGCGTAATTCGGCGTTCGCTCGGTTTCAGATTGTCGCGGTGTAGACAGTATTCTAAGTCGATGTCCTGATTGAATTCCTCCGATTCGTTGATCTGACGCGTGATCTCGTTGAGTTCATCGATGGAGACAAACAAAGTTTGCGCATTTAAACTTTGGCAGCTTACAGACTTCAGATTGAATTCCTCTATAGTGCTGGCGTGACTAACTTGACTGGTGAGGCTATTTTTTGAACCACGTTGGTTGATCGAAGTATTGCTGGAAAAGACAACGCTTCGTCGCTTGCCGTTCGTATGTCGCATGTCCAGAGAGTCAACGCTTTTGAAATGTTGCTGCTGTGCCAGGTAGCCGCAAACCTTTTGCTCAGCACATAATGGTGTGTTCGGATCACTTTTGCACTGTGGCGGTGACAGCTCAACCGAAGGCGATGAGTTCTCCTTGTCGGCATCATTGTCCTCGTAATCAGAGGGCGCGAGGCTACACTTTCTGACGCCAAAAAGTTCCGGCAAACGCGGTAAGTCGCGGCAGTTCTCTAGATCCGCTGTTGTCATCTTCAAATCCAAAGTCATCGATGGTGTCTTCTGCAGAAATATCTTCATTTCGGCGCGATGCAAATTTTGTGCTGACTTCGAGTGTTGACGTCGACGCAATTTGGGTGGTGGCGTCGGTATACGTGGTTTGGTTGGCGACAAAACCACCGCGTCGACGGCACGCTCAGCTTCAGAGTGTGCAGATGCTTTGGTTGAACTGGCGGACGCCACATCTTGTGCATTACACTCTGGTACTGGAAATATTGGCACTTTCACAAAGGGGTGCCCCTTCAAGTTGGCAGGAACTGCCTCATCTGATGGCCGCTTCGGTGTGCTCAATGCGAGCACATACTGCTCCTCCTCCTCTTCACCAGCTGGCTCGACTGGCTCATCGGCTACAGGTGGCGTGCTGAGCGCGTCCGCATACACCTCCGTTTCACTGCCTGATGACGGCATCTGCGGTGAGGACGAGTGTATATTGATTGTGCGCACCATAGTGCTTGTGGCCGCTATACCACCACCAATCTGTCGCAAGCGCTCCTCACTCACATCAAACCGATCGGCATCCAGTGTTGTGGTCGATATCAAAACTGGCGCACCAATCTCTAAACGATGATCATCCGAATGCGCGCCGGTCATGTCGTAACTGCCTGAAGCGACTTTCTGTGGTGAACTGCCTTTGCGGCCAACATTATGGCGACGCGTAATGCGATGGCTGAGCGTGGAGTAACGCTTCGTCAACTTGTTCAGTAGGCCAGCGGTAGTTGATAGGCTTGCGTTTACATTGTTGTTGCGGTTGGTATTTACATCGTTGTTGTTGTTGTTGTTGATGTTGGTATTGCTGGCTTCTGTATTTAGTTTAAATTTTTGCGTGCGTAAACGATTCATTTTCTTCACTTCCAACTAAGCTGCTAATACTCATTAATGCGCAGATTAAAATGTCCACTTTGGCAGCGTTGCTTGGAGAGCTGCGCTCATTAACCTTTGAAATTGACGTTCGTTAAATTTTTGGTTTGGCTTTTTTTTTAACACTCATTATTATTTTTATTAGCTTTTAGACAAAAGTAAATGATGTGCAAAAGGTTGAAATAGCGGAGCATTTAAAGCGTTGCTGAGGCGCCAACTTAATCATGCATATACTTGTATGTATGCTTAAATGTGCTTAAAAGTAAATACTCAACTCAAGTACATATACTATACAAATAAAACTTTATTTTAGTATTAGATAAAAAGCTGATAACTCAAGTGCTGTGTTTTAAGTTTAAGTTTGACCAGTAAAATGTTGCTTTTATTTGATACCCTTTGGCCATCTACAAATCAATGCCATTGAAGCACCAACCATAAGTAAATATCCATTGAAGATGTGCGAGTTGTCGACAAAAAGTTCGCGAAATAGACACCTTTCTAAACTTAGCGATACTTGAAGTCTAAAAGCCTTTTGTCTAAGAGTCTGTCTGCCGCTGTAACTGTGCGCTCTACAAGGACTTGACTTGGATACCTAGTCCTAGCAACATCTTAAATTAGAAAGTGTTGTTTCTAACAGCGGACGTTCCCGTCAGGCAATGACAAACCTCCGTATTTATTTCTGCATTTAGGAGGTGGCGTAAAATTTTAGTAGATAGAAGTAACAAAATTATTAATTTGTTTTACTCTCTTATATTTTGATGTAGTGCTCAGATTTAGCGCGAAGTTGTAGATTAGAATTCATATATGTACAAGTATCTCAGGTCGCATTGCAATGGAACCCATCAAAAAGTACATATGTGGAAAATATTTAGCCAGAAAAAGCTTATACAAAATTTAAAATACTTTGAGTTAATGATACATAAGTAGGAATGGCTGAACGGCAAGAGAAGAACGAGAAATATAGAGGCTACTAAATATGTGGCTCAGTATCCACATTTTAAATTTGCAAAAGGCTGTGAGGAGATGTTACATTCACGATTTGTAAAATGGGGGTCCTACATACCTAAATTTTGTGAATTTCATATAGGCTTCTCTTTGTTATACTTAGGTATGTACGCGTCTACATTGAGTTGTGTTCAATTTAGTTAAAATAAGGTTTAGAAATTTCCAAATTTTGTCTAGGAAGTATAATAAATGGATGTGGAAAGGACCTCATACAAGTTTAATTGCATTTCAATGCTTTCTTTAATATAAAAATTTGCTGTTAACCATGTTTCATTTACATAGGTATGTACATACATATAGTTAGGCCTATTTTCAAAAGTGTGGTGTCAAATTGCAAGGCTTGGACTGTGGATTTATTTTTTTTTTAAAGGGTGGCCACCTGTTAAAATTGCATTAAAAGTATTTCATAATTTAAATGAATTAGATATTAAAATATGGGTATCAATCGAAATGGTTTGCAAAATCATTTACTTTTACATGTAGAAGGGTTGCCACCTGTTTAAAAAATTTCGTTGGCATTTTTTTTTTTGCTGGCAGTGTCCTCCATATAAAAGAAAATTGTCGAACATGCTTTGTATGGAAAATACGCCAAACACCTTCAACGAAAAAAATTGCATTTCAAGTTTCGAAAATGTGACGTCAGTTTCGTAATCAGCAATCCCAGAAACCCCCTGGAAACAAGTTCCAACTAAGGCATCCAATCCCGAACCATTTTGTGATTCCCGGGATTTCGGGATCTTAAACAGGTAATCCCGGGATCCCGGGATATTTCGGGATATTATTACCATTAATTAAAATATGCTAACAAACTAGTTTTGCAGTCTTTCTTTAGTGCGAATACTAGAAATAAAAATAAATCTGTGTTTTTAAGAAAAGAAATATAATCCCGGGATCCCGAATCCCGGTACTAGATGCCTTAGTTCAAACCCATGACAATGCCTAAATCGTTCAGTACCAACGTTTTAATTTGAGTATTTTTTTTTTAATTTGATCGCCATATTGGATCAACCATTTTGAATTTAAAAAAGTTGACTTCAGATACGTAATCGGCGACCCCAAAAACTTTCGAGTGCCAGGTTTCGAAAATTTCCAATAATTAAAAAAAAATGGATCGCCATTTTGGATCCGCCATTTCGAATTTTGAAAAACTGACTTTAGATCCCTAATTAGCAACCTCAGGAACCCCCTGGTAACAAGTTCCAACCCATGACAATGCGTAAATCGTGCAGTATCAAATTTTTAGCAACATTTTAAGATGTCAAGAAAATAAAAAAATTTAGAACATCGGCGTTTTTATAAAAAACCGGCCAGCGCGACCTCTAAAAAAAATTTTTTTTTTCAAAAAAAAAAGTGTCTTTTTTATCACAAATAACAATATTCTGATGTAGCGTTTATGAATTTCCAAAAATAGTGTTTTTAAGAACCACTCTAATATATACATACATGTACACATTCTTTGTATAAGCTTTTTAAATCGCTTTAATGTTATAATTTCATATGTTTATCCAAGAAGAATTTAGTTCAGAAGAAAATTATTTAATGCAAATTTGAACAAATCCATTAGCTACAATCATAAGAATTACTATAGTTTTATCGTTTAGTTTTGATTTTATAGGGCTATTAAAATACTCTTTAACAATAGACGCACTATGCTTGCATACGTACACTTATCCATACATTTAAGATAGTACGTATATGTATTTATGTATGTACATACATACATACCTATGTATATGCAGTGACTTACACAAGTGTTAACTTGATGCTTTTTAAGCAACAATGCTACACACGAGGCAATGGTCGAAGCGTGTGTAGTCAGCATTA